TGCAGTAATCAGCAGTTCCAATCATTATTGTCAAACACTTATGTCATCTACCTTTGTCTGTTTCAGAAAGCTTAGGTTTTTCCTTAATTTCCTACAGTTGAAGACCCAGATATCCACCCCATACATTCTGTAGCAGAGCAGTCGAATAGAAACTTATGGTTGATGAAATTGTTTCTGAAGGTTTTCTATTCGTTTTCATAGTTGCTTCACTAGTGATTAGATCATTGATATAATTTGTTGTCTTGATTTACTTGACTTCCCATGTTCACCACCATTACATAAACTCTACCAGTTTATATTTGATCTAATTTCGCTCCTCTGTAACTAAGACTTTTCGTGTAAATCGTGAAATGGTTATGATGCGTCAGCTCATTCCTTGTTTCATCCATAACAGATCACTTTAAAATTCGTCACTTTCTGTCAAGTAGTGAAGTTTAACTGTTGTAGGATGCTAATTAAACCTGTCACACAGTCTACATCAGTGTAGAACCTGGGAACACCAGTTAATAGTTCAGGTTACCATACTATATCAGTACATGAAAATACATAGCAGTGAGATAAAAAGTGAAGAAATGGAGAGGAATGTTGGTCTTAGGGTGTTATGAAAAGACAGGAGGAGATAAAGCAAGTAACGAAATGTAATATGTTGGTTAGAGTGGATATTGAATGCTCATGCATCTACACTGCTGTGACCGATTCTAAACCATGTCACCTGAAGTCTGGAACCATCGATTGCGGTTGTCATGCTGACTCGAATCTGGAAGTCCATATTTCCCTAAACAGCTCGTAGCAGCAGTCAGAGACTTCGTCAATTCAAGACGGTTTTTAGTATATCTATCTTCAATCTTTCTGCAGCTTGAACTTATCTAACATCGAATTTTGGAGTAGACACCGACTAAACTACACGTCCTAACCATTAGAGTCGGGGAAAGTTTAAAAGTGCATCAGCTAACTTATTCCTCTGCCTAAAACCCTACGCCTAACCTCCACAACACTGGCGGTGCTGTTAGGATGATGGTGATTAGTCACTCTAAGGCAACCGATCTCCTTCACTTTTATTGGCTTCGCTTGATATCCCTAAAGTTGGGCATAGTAAACTGCTATGCAATATATTCAGCCCTTAATAGGCAGTCAGTTATATAATCATCGCCATGGGTGACAAGTTGGCAAAAACCGATCGAGCTTTTCGTATCCATGCAGAGGTTTCTTCCGTCACTGATCCACCGGTTCTAGTCAATCTGTCAATGCACACCATAGCTGAAGCAACAATTTGGACTTGGGTAGTGAGAAACACTTTTGAAATATTTTCATCTTATCAGCGTCTTCACATATCAGGAATGTGTGATGCACCTATCTGAAACACCTTTCAGTGACAGATACTGCCAGGAAACCTGTCGATTGACTCAATTGAACGCCAATTTCACTTTAAAATAGCCAGTTTTGATTACAGATAAGCATATCTCCGTTTTATAGTCTAATGAATGGGGAAAAGCTGGCTGATGCACCCGTGACCAGAACGTAAGCCTACTTATTTTTATTGGGCTCGCTGTTCCCGCGCTTGAGTTTAGTGTTTAACAGTTATAGAATCTAGAATCTTAGACGCTATGTGGTTATCACAAGAGGATCTCTCTGTTTTCTTGAAAACATGCACAATCAACGATTATAACTATTTTAACAGGATAATATACGGTTTTCCTCCTCAAGCTAAGAATTCTGTCAGTCTAACCTATAATCTTGGGCCGTTATCTTTAAATGTCTTTAGTACAAGCTTGCTATCTTTTGTCGTTCCACGTTAACCGCAGCCTTGTCAACTTATTTATGAGCCGGGGGTCCTATCTTTATGTGCTATTCAGGATGCGGTTGGAAAGTGGGAGGCTGAACAACAACCAGAAGTCATTTGTACTCTTCCTGTTCAACCTATTGTTCTAGTTGTCTCCCCTGGAAATGAATTACAGACCTATCCTTCTCTTTTCTAGTCTAGCTAACCAGCTTGCTTGGAAAGTCTAATTAGTTGTCTACTGTTACCCATCGCCACTGCCTTTTATTATTTGTCAGTCTACATTTGAGTTCCTTCGGCTCCTCGTGCTGGGAACCTGTTTGCGCTCTTAAATCGTATCACGTACGAAGATCATATCAGTACAGCCTGTATGACAGTTAAGGCCAGTTGGTCATCTTTTATATGTTATTTCCAAATAGTTAATTAAATGGGCACTATACCTACAGGTGTTTATAGTACGGCAGTTATCTTGTTTCCTTGTAGCCATTATGAGAGAATTTCTGCCTTTTCTCAGTAACTGTAACAGTCAGTTTCTAGGACCATTGTGATAACTGAATATATCAACCACAGCAACGGTCAACTTTTAATGCTGTGTTGTCGTTTTGGAAGATGGTCCCATGTACTCAGGATCTGTTTTAGCTGCACTTTGAGTGTACTACAGCCTTCTGAAACTTAGCGGAAGTAGCATCAATAACCCATTCTCGTCTTTTACTGATAGTGAACGACTAGAAAGTTTTTTAATACCGGTTGAGCCTCTTTTAATTATATGTATATCTCCTGTATATATGTATCAGTAGTCTATTTCTACCTGATGATTTCCACCTTTTATCGATCCAGTTTCTTACTCAGACAATGTAACAACCAACTACTATCACTTCTTGGCAACATATCAATAACTTTTGCCTTCATTATTACTCCCTGTTTACTTACTGCTCAGTCTTTTAGTTATCCTGCATTTCATCTGCTTTCGGTCATTATCTTAAGTGACATGAGTTATAGCTTGTAGACTAATTCTGATAAACTCTTTGAGATCCACTGGCTTTCGTTTGTTTATACTGTTATTTTCGTGCCAATTCTAATGTTTTTTAAAATCTATTTCAATTGAGGTATCATTGTTGTGCTTATACAGTGATAAAGTTAACTATTCCATGTCAATTTGTTTGTTGGCTATTTCACACAGTGAAACAGTATTATTTCCTGAATGACCTTTCAAACCGAATTTATTATTCATATTCATATCAAGGGTAACTGCACAGCATTGAGACATGTTTTACATAATTTTAATCCTCTCTCCTTTATTATATGGGTAGTAGAGTTCTCTATATATTTGGGACAGATGCTGAATCATTCTAACTGCATATATTCGGTGTTGATTCGATAGAAAAAGATTTGATCATCAATCTCTCACTCCATCCCACTAAGTTCTTTTTAAGGTCTGCTGTCCTGTTGCTGTGGTCTTGTGTGATCTCATGGATCGCAGTAGCTAAGGCCACAATGACACAGTATTATTTGGGCCGCGGCAGGATGAGAACCGGCAACCACAGGGTTTCCGATCTGGTGATCTACCAACTGAGCTACGCGACCCGACTTCTGACCAGATCTTTATCTTACTTCAACCACGAAGGGTTTTCCCCGTTTGCCATGTGAAATCATGATCGCTTACTATAGCACCGTTGATAGACCACCAGGCCGGAAACCGAGCGGTCGCTGGTTCGAGTTCTGCCATGCTCCAGATTCTGGTTTTCTCTCCAAATACCACCCAGTATCAACATAGGTCTGCCAAACCGCGGCTGTCTCAGATAGTCAAACTGATAAACACTATTATTTACTGGATGAACTTTCGAGCGAATTGTATTGCTCATATTCATATTACTTTAACATGCTTATGCTCAAAATATCATGCAGTAAATAATACTATATCAGTTGGCTACATCAAATAAACAAATCTAATACAGAATTAAAATCTACCTCAGTATTCAAGTTTTACTATTACATTAAGAATCATCACACTTTAAGCAAACTTTTGTATCATTGTTCAATTAATGTAAGCTTCGCTCATACTGTAGGAGATCATTGCTAACGCCTACTCAATTAAAATTTTAAAAAATGCTGACAACCTAGAAAATCATTTTCAGTTTGGTTAGTTTTGCATCGTAACAAATGATTATAGTAGTAGAATTATTCATTTATAAATTGGACTAAGATTGAGCATAACATATTATGACGGTGTTAATTACTCGTATAATTGTTATTATATGATACCGTCGTTGCTTGGACCGAATTGATCGGTATCTATTGGCATATGGGCTCCAGTGCGGATGCCTCGATGTTGCCTGCGTTCTAATTGTATTAATGGTGAATCGTGGCTAGTAGTGGAATCCAGGATGCATATTTCGTCCTATTTGGGACTCGCCAGCTGGATGTAGTGTAGTGGATAAGGCCCTGGCGTTTGAAGCGATCGCTCCCGAGTCCGAATCCCGGTGGGAACAACATAACTCACTGGGAAGCAGGTACATCCAGCTGACGAGTCCCAAATAGGACGAAATGCGCATCCTGGATTCCACTGCTGGCCACGATCCATCATTGATGTTAATTACTGTTAAAATAAAATTATTCATAAAAAATACAAGTTGTAATTATCAATGAAAAGTGATATACACATTGTAATTTTCAATAGAAAACTATCATAAATTATAATCATTACATCACTTGTAATTTATTTCGAAATATTTCACTTCCTACGCCATATCTGATTTTCACATAAACACAGTTATGAAAGAATATATATTGGGCCTAGCTTTCAGAAACTGTAACTAATCTCCCTATATAACATTGAATAGTCTCTGAGGTTTTGATGTTTACTGTTGTCTTAGTAGAGCAGGACAGTGACTTTGTACTTGACCAATTGTCGGTGGTAGTGGGCTGTTGTTCACCGGTCTTGGCGCTGAACTATTTATTACCCTATGAGTTTGGATTTCTATTCCATATACTCTATCTTCATACAAAGAGTCTGAGTCCTCTCGTTACAAATTTTTTATCACTATGATCCTGGTACTAAATCGTTCTTCATTTGTGATTCATACCTTAAAAGCATGTGATCCTTAAGCAGTACAAGATATGTGATTATACAAAATAGGGATCGGTCTGTAGTTTTAGTCTTTAAATGATTTGATAAAACACCTGTTATTTTATATTAGTTTACAAGATTATTTTTTGATTTCAGGCTACTGCTGGTCCATGCAATGTACCGAAGCCGGGAATCTTTGATATAAATGGTCGTAAAAAGTGGCAAGTGTACTGTGTTTTGCATCTTGTAAAGAAAGCTTTCTTATAGTTTTCATTTTTTAGAAAGGCATAACTAAGTTTCGGATGTTCAGAGGAAAGAAATGGGAACTTATGTACCTAAGTTTCTTGAACTCTAATAATGATCAGCCTTGTGCATCCAAAACTCATAATAAGCTTTATATCTAAGAATTTAATCCATGAGCGAGTTTTATCGAGATTCTGAGTATGCCTTTTTCATGCATAATATTCTAATATTTGTTTTCAAACATAAAGAATACACTGAAGTGTAATGCATTTTTCATTACACTGCATTGACTAACCACAGCTTTTACATTAACCTAGTAGTCAGGCTCGAATGCCATAATGGTGAACTATTCAAGTAGTTATGATTAGAAAGAGTGTTCCTTTTAAGTCTACCATTTTGAAAAAGTTGCTCGGTTAGCAGTGAAAACAAAACAAGTAATCTTGGGTGCGAAAAAGATATCGGACTGTTGACTGTACGGATACCTAAAAGTTATCAGGTATTTTTCGAAGACAATCCGTGTCAAAATTCCATACTCACCTGAAGCTTGGGAACAGCAAACATTCAAAGACCCAGAAAGGTTTCACACTCTGTTGTGCGTCTACCGGCAAGTTCTTCACCACTCCCTATCACTGGAGCCGTAAAAATAGTCACACTTACCAACATCTAAAATAGCCATATTCCTCAACCTGGAGCGAATATTTAGGTTCATTGAACGATGGATGTTTTGGTACTGTCCTCACTGGAAAAGTACCCGGTGAACAGATCACCTTATTGAAGGCCTAATAACCGAACACGCAACTGTCATGTCAGAGATGTTCGTCGTATCTAGTCTCATACTTCGCAGTGGAATATTTTCATATTAATTTGTCAAACTAGAAGGACTACAAACCAACTTTTATACTAGTAGGTGAGTAAAAGTAATATAATGCAGTCTCCAAACCGCCTAGAATAACAATAACACCTTCGTAACTAAAGAATCCAAATCAAAAAACACAACATCAAAATGGAAATAGTCCCCTCACTTTGTGAATCTGTGGGGATTGATTGATTACAAGGTTGTTTTCATCACAGACTGATATCGTCTCAAGAACCGTGGAAAACTTGGCAGAACTGGACAACTGTTTCTTTTTAGTATGGGGTTCTTCAGCAGTGAACAATACTATGGTTCTCTAACTGATGTCAGTCCGTGATAAATACCACCTAGAATAATTCTGCTTCTCATTTTCGATAAAATGATAAAGGATTTAATCAACTGTATACCTGTATATTTGTACATGGCTTGTAACCTATGCCTCAACAAGTTCGATGTGTTCATTATTCGCAAAAATGTTAAAATATTCATGGGTCATATTGATTTTACGCTCTGTAAGGAAAGCAACAAAACCTCAGGCCATAACCCCTCAAATTGAAAACCTGACTCCAATTGATTATTGTGACCTCATTTCACGTGAATATATGTATGAATCAGGACATTTCTACCAAGCATACAATTTGCTCGTTATGCAGCCTAATCTACTCATCCATGAACCAAACCTGTAAAATAATGGGTGTTATTAACCATGACAGTGATAAGTTTACTCGTGATAGTGAATTTACGTGGATAAGTACAGTGAGGATATCTTATATTTGATTCTTATAATCGTGTAATTACCTTTGATCATTGGCGGTAGGTTTTATACGAAACGTCATCTAGTAAATAATTATTATGTTATTATTAGTCCCTTGGGTTCCTAGTGGGACATAGGGCTTCAGTAGCGCCTCGCCATTTCACTCTGTTCTCTGCACTCTTTCTAGCCTGGCTCTACGATTGCCCATAAGCTTTCATTTCTTCCTCACACGATCTCCATGTCACCCTCGGATACCTAACTCATCATTTTCCTTTTTGGTTCCACTTGACGGCCTGACCTCATGCGTGATGTCCCAAAATGGTCTTCTCAGTATATACCCAACCCAATCCGACCCATCTCTACTTTATTCTGCATATTTGTTGGGCGATGGGTTCTTGGTTAGTTCGTTGCCAGCCAGCCAGTGTTCCTTGTTGCTTATCCTTATTATTCTGGCCATCTGATCTGATATTCAGTATCGAGTGAGCATAGGTGTAGGTGTAGGCGTAGGCGGCAGGTGTTGATGAGGTGAGGTATGTCTGTAGTTAGTTGGAAATGCTTTCCGTGACGCGCCTTGTTTCTGAACCATCCATCCATCACATAGAAGCACTGACTTTACGTTGGTGTTGAAAATGAGGATCTTGTTCACGCTTCATGCTGAGTGCAGCTACTAAATAATGCTGTATCATTATGAAGTTTGTTAAATCAACATAATTGCATTGAATTATGCCTTGCCTCAGTGTTGGAGCTTTACTCTTATCGTGATAACACTTCTTTACAGTGATAAAGGCTTGTTTTTACCTTCCCAGTCGGAAAATCAACACCAGCTTAAGACTGTTGATATGATATTACTAACTGCACTAGAAACACCCGTCAAAACTGTTAATTTCCTGTGTTAACAAAGTCGCCAATTTGTGGTGACATCGTCTCGGTTAACCATGTGATATTGTTGATTCAGTCTTAGAGCTGATCTTGCACGTGATCGGTCTCGAATCTTTTTCCCCCATCTCATACGCTTACATGAGCTGTCACATAGTTGTGCCGTCTAAATCGCAATAGTGTGGCGCCAACCCTCCATATATATATATATATATATATATATATATATATATATATATATATATATATATATATATATATATATATAAAACAACATCAAAAATAAATGAAATAACACGATGGATGACACCTATCTGAGATTTCCATTTTCGACTTTTCGGTTGATGTAACTAAACAATTTCCTTTTCAACTGTATTTCAAAATGATGAGTAACTTTCGACATATTTCAGGTCGGCATGGCATGATCTAGGTAACATGTCTGCTGAGGAAGCGCAAAAACAATATGTTGATAAGCTACAAGAAGTAGATCCTACTTGGAAACCATCGGTGAGTTTTCACTTATTTATTCTTATAATTAGAATTATTCATAAACTGTTTTTTACTGTACTTTAATTGTTAAAGCTGAAGTCAAGTAAGAGAACTAATTTTTCCGTTGTTATCTCAATAGTATCTTTTTTAGCTGTAGTGCTGACTCAAATCTGAGAAGAACCACGAGCTTACTCAAGGTTTTTTTTTACACCAATTGTGATGACCACCGAAATTCAAGAAACCTATATACAAAGTTTGCTATTATTCTTCTACTAGTATTCAGCAAGTAATAACTATTGATTAGATAAAAACCTAATTGGCTTTAAATTAGGATAAAATGATTTCATTTATGTTTGATAGCACTGAAGACATACGGTATTACTCATTTGGGGCCTCCACCTTTACCTTCCCTTCTGTGAAAGATGTATCTAGGTCACTGCATGTTGCCATAGATTAATTTATTATTTTTCAGAAGCATAACCATCAGTTGTGATTCTCATAACAGTAAAGACTATCTCACAATATTTTATCTACAACTAATCACCATCTAACATGTTTTTTCATATCCACAATCTAGGGACATTTTATAGATGAGTGTCCAGAAATCTAATTTATGACATAAAGCATTTTAACTTGTCCTTGATGCTAAACTTCTAATTGGCTAAGAATTTTGAAATCAGTTGTGTCATTTGTAATATTGCATTTTCCAAACTCCCATCTACTACTTACGATCATTGAGTTCATTACTTATTCTTTGCGTAATTTTAAAGCATAATCAGTGTAACTTCATCTTTTATCCCCTTTTGTTGAAAAGATATGACATCTTGTAGACTGCAAGTACATCGTAAACTATTTGATTGATGACAGTAAGACCGTCACACATGATCAATTATCATATGAAATTTCTTTGTATTAACTAGGAAGTTAGATAGTTGGAGATACTATGGAAATATCGGATGACATCTGCAGTACTTACTGTCAATGAACTCATGCTGCTTTTCATTTCCTGAGTTATGTTCACTTCCGCGATACTGTTACTGATTTAATGTTAAGAATTATGTCCCTTTAATGAAATACTAGAACTGGTCACTGTAGTCTAGTAATGTTTACTTTACTACTGCATGCTTATGTGAAAACGGACATACCCAAATCTATAAAGCTGATTTCTCATTCTACCCCAGTCTTCACATAGGGGCTACGGGCGAAATAAAGTTCCTAATTGCGAATTTGTTAACACGAACCTCAACTTATGACTAGTTTCTGTTGTGATCAAGTGGTGGGGTTGCGCGCGTGGGTATAATGATACTGGGACTCAATAGACACCTCAACCGAATACCTTTACGACTGACCTCCCTCATTACCTTCTGCTTCACTTGGCCGCGGGGAAATCAGAAGACAAAGACGGCCTGTGACTGCAAGAACAGCGACAACTCTTATTAGGCAAATACATGACATATATGTGTTTACAAAACTCTCAGAAAGTGAAGCCATAAATGAACCAATCGGATTTCCTGTATGAGGTCGAACTTCTCCAATCAGGTTCTCATATCAGTACATGCATAAATCACGACCTGAACGTGATCTGATCATGACTTGTAGCTACGTATCAGTTTCTCCCGACATCAGATCTGATTTAGGACAGAGCTAAGTCAGAGACAATCAATAGGAATCTCTGGACCTGACATTTTTGTTTTCTGGTACTTACCAGCAACGTTTATTGTAAAATTCAAGGGAGATCAAACCGTGTGTCGCTCAGTATAATGAAAAATGTTATGATTGTGGCACTAGGGATTGTGACAGACCTCTTGCTGGATCAGATTAAGCACATGGTGTATAGAAATATCTGCTATTAAATTGGTTGATTTGGAATGGATTTCCAATGTCAAGTTTTATGGTATATGGATCTTACAGGTAAAATGGTTTCACCTGACTAGTAGTTAGTATACTTGCAATCCAATTTATAAATCCAAAAACATATCAAAATTTCGCCACACTTTTTACCAACTTAATGTGGTATGCAATATCTAAAGATAAAGTAATGCGGCTGAAAACGGTTCTGGAATATATTATCTACCGTACATAACCAAATAAAATCCAATCATGATCCAAGCTGCATCACTCTTCAAAGCTTCAAGGGTTCACACGATGCCTCATTTAATTATCTAACTCAGTAGAGTTGATGTTGACTAAACATTCACTACATTTTAATACTTTCTTTACCTTTTCTAAATAACACATAGCTTGGTCATAAAAAATAAGTAAGTACACAACTACTCCATGAGTTTGATATATAAGTAGTAGATGAACGCTTCATTGATAGTACAGGTGAAAAACACCAGAATCTACTTTGTATTATAGCATGTTGCTATCAATTAGATACACAGTGAGTTTACTCACGCCTCCCTCAATCGTTCTGTAACTGAACGATTGTTGCTAATCAGCTTGATTTTTTTTCACTCCTTCACACTATCATCCTTGTTGTTTTACAATGATTTATCGTTCTTGGCATAGGTTTCACTGACCTCCACTTTTTACACTACTTTCTTTTCTGATAGAGTCTACTCATCCGATGATCGTTATCAATGCTTTTACAGTTCTGTTGATTTTGGGACTCATTTGTTCTTTGATTATTGCTATGCATAATCATCTACCGGTATTTAACTTGGTGTTCTCAAGTATTAAAAGCCACCAATCTTGTATGATAATGATTTCGGAAAATTAGGATATTTCCTAGGTAAAATCTAAGCTGATAGTTTTCAGTTGAATATTACGTTGTTAGAGCCGATATTATTTACTATTATGTTCATATTAATTTCTAATGCTGTTTCCATTCGGCAATACTCCTTTAATCAATGTGTTGTTTTTAAACCTGTAGCTTTTGGGCTTGGCGTGTTTAGAAAATAGATGTATTGTTAGTCAGTAGAAGATAGTAAGTCAAAAGCTGAAATATGATATTTACAGTTGGACGATAAATAGGGAACTTCATCATTGAGGTCAGGAAAGGGGTAGTAGGCAATAAAGGCAAGTCGATTGATGCAGTTGTGAACCTTAGTCGACTAAGATGGTTTGGATATCCGTTGCCCATGTCGACCCACTGCCTACCTTGACGTGCTGTGCTACAGGAAGTTGGATTAGGTTGGAAATGGGTTCAGGTTGGCCAAACCAAAACGTGGCACCAGTCGATGAAGTCTCTTATTGTTGGTTTGAATCGTATGGGGGAGATGTAAACTGCCTGGCTGAAGTCCCCAAGACAAGAGGAATCAGTGGTTGAGGACTTGGTGATATGGCTAAAATTTGGTCACAGTGTCATCTAAATCTTGATTAATTACAATAACCGTTATTTTCAAATTGTTTATTCTCTCACACTACTTTGATATCGCTCCTATTCCATCCACCTGTCTTTGTTTCCTACTGTGAAGTGTGGCAACTTAGACCGATGCACCTGAGGGCAAGGTTCTGCTTCGATTTTGTCAATCATTCTTTGTATTGTTATTTCATTATCATTATTTCTGTTAGTTAAATTGTTAACGATATCTCATTGTAGGATAAAAAACAAAGATCTGTCTATGTTAGTCGAATGGTTAATTTAGATCCCAACTCAGATGATCCACCAATAACATCTAGCAGTGATCAGTCAATCTTTAATATTATCAAACAACGTGATGTTGAAGCTTTAAAATGTCTTTTATCATCTAAATGTTATATGGTTCATGAAACAGATAAAGATGTAAGTCTCCCCTACTGATTATAAACTTAGTACATTGTGATGAAATAAACTAACCGATATTAATTTTTTGGTCAATCTTTGTTTATCTGAAATGGTCTACTGGATTCGGTTTACTTAGGCCTCACTACTGGTTCCGATTGACCCAAGTGAGAATTTACAGCCAACACGTGTAGTACACAAACACAACTTGTATTTTTCTAAATACAAAGAAAGGGAACCAAATCATAAGGCGTAGATAGTCAGATGCAGTTGATGGTTCAAGTTTTCTAGGATTGACATTTTGTCTTGAAATGTAATCAGCTTAGTCCCATCAAGTAAAAATGTGGGAATTCGGTTTTTTAGAGTGAAAACCTCGGGTACAACGATATGAATATCTTTCATATGTGGGGCTGTTGCTCAATACTATAAGCAGCCGACTTTTAACCAGTGAGTCATGAGTTCGAACGTCACTCCAAACGGCCACGTATTGTCACTAGTTCTCATATAACAAGTCCGACTTATTGCTTACCGCATGTATATGCATGCGGTTGCATAGTACATTTCGATTTTGATATGAGATAAATGAAATGTGCAAAGTATAAACGTGCCCCTGAAAAATAGCCTATTGGTTGTGGGTAATAATTTTTTTAGTAACTTATTTTTTATATTTTCAGTAACCCTGGTGAATTCGCGATACAAATACTAAAGTACTAGCCTGATATTCATCAGTTTTCATCACTTGTAATACCGGCTAGATATTTGCTCACTGTTTACCAAACCTTATCGATGGTTCGTTATTACCTTCTGTTCTACTATGTGATAATGTAGTTTTAGTTGAATATAATAAACGCTAATCCTTAGTTTTGTTACATCACTGTTCACAACTGAAGCAAACCATCAGTGGTTAATGATTTGATTAGTTACAGAGTCTACTCATTTTCTAGATCATTTAATAATATGGCAAAGTTCCAAATCTCAAATGATTGAAAAACGCATTGTGCATAACTGTTATATCTCTGCCTTGATGGTTTGGCCGATTTTTGGTTCTCACCTCGGTTTGGGTTTCTTGTTGGGTCGTGTAATCACCGGACTGAGGAAAATTCCCATCACTCGTCGTAACTATTGTTATCCTCCAAGTTACTCTGTGCGAGTTGATCCTACAGCCACTAATGTCACACCAGCTGACTCAGAAAAGACGAAGTTAGGCTGTTCGCCCAAACAAAGCATAGTTGTATCTAGCGTGATATGTAGAGAACGCACAAGGCGTTCAAAGCGTAGGCGGCCTAATCAGAATGTCAATAAACGGGAACAAGGACTCGTGAAGGACAATAATAATTGATTGGTTGTTGCTCTCATTCTTTCTTCCTACTGGTACAACAAAGTATACAGCAGTTCGCCTTTTCCTACGTTTTGGCAACAAAATGTGGTCCTTGAAATTAGAAAATATAGGATAGTTGCAGGTTTTGGTCCATACCTTCGTATGATTGTTCGTATTTAATGGAACTGTGCGGAGCTGTGGTTCATTGGTCTGCGCACCCAACTCAGCCAGAAGGTTACGGGTTCAAACCCCACTTCGCCCACCAAGAATTGGGCAATCGGACATTGTTATAAGCACTCACACAATAAGTGAGGCTCATTGCATGTTCGATGAATGTGCACATGTTGAGCTATGACTCATCTGTCTAGGTACTCGCTTTTCAACCGATGAGTCATACCTTCAGACGCAGCTTTACATACTGAGGTTTGAGTAACCAGATAGTATCGATAGCTCCCACACAATAGGTAAGGCTCATTGCCTACTGCACATTAGTGTGCAGTTGCTGAGTAGATCTCTTTTCCTTCCTCCAATTTGAGCAGTTCTGAGGTAAGACGAAGACTACTAGGTAAGGAAGTTATGTACGTCAATAACATTGTGAAGCCTTACCTTCTCAGGTATCTTGGAAATGCGCTGCTTATGCTGCGACATCGCTTCCTTGGCGTCCAGTGTCTACCGAAGTAAGATAAGGTCAGAAGAAAGCTAAGGGCGATCAGACCAAGACGTGATACCAGTCCATAAAGCCTTTGACTTTCGGTCTGAACTATTTATGTAGGTGTAATCTATCCGGATGACATTATGACGATATGAATAAATGACTGGAGACTCTTGGTAATATGGCCCGAAATTGACCACAATGATGCAGATGTTTACACTGCATTTCCGAAGCCTTGAATGTCTTCATTATTTTTATCTTTTCATTCCGTTCCTCTTGTCTACTTTAATATAATTCGCTTTGTATCCGCATTTTATTGGCATACTTTTGTAGCTTTTGCCAACTTGAGTTGGTGCACTTCTTTATTATGTTTCTAGCTTAATCTGTCTATTTGACTAGAAGTAAAGTATATTTTCTAGTTATATTCATTTAAATCAGATCATGTCTGTATGAAGCTCAATATTCTTACAAATTTCGCTTAAAATTTGAAATACAGAATGTGTGATTGGTACTAAGTTGCAACAAGACAAAAGTGGTTCACAACACTGATTATTTTTTCTATTTTTATTTGTCCCTTGGGTTCCTAGTGGAACATCGGGCTTCACTAGCAAGTCTCCATTGCACTCTCGTCTCTGCACTCTTTCTAACCTGGCCCCACATCTGCCCACAAGCTTTCATTTCTTCCTCACATGATCTCCATGTCACCCTCGAACGCCCAACTCATCGTTAACCCTTTGGATTCCACTCGATGGCCTGACCTGGTGCGTGGTGTCCCCGAATAGTTTTCTCAGTGTATACTCAATCAAATCAAGTCCATCTCCACTTTATTCTGCATATTTGTTGGGCGATGGGTTCTTGGTTGGTTCGTTGCCAGCTAGCCAGCCAGCCAGTGTTGCTTGTTGCTTATCCTTATTATTCTGGCCATCTGATCTGATATTCAGTATCGAGTGAGCATAGGTGTAGGCGTAGGCGGCAGGTGTTGATGAGGTGAGGTATGTCTGTAGTTAGTTGGAAATGCTTTCCGTGACGCGCCTTGTTTCTGAACCATCCATCCATCACATAGAAGCACTGACTTTACGTTGGTGTTGAAAATGAGGATCTTGTTCACGCTTCATGCTGAGTGCAGTGCAGTGGAGTGGAGTGCATTAGATGTGCACACTGGTTTCAGATTAGTGCAGGAAGGTGTGTCTTGTCTTGCTGTCTCTCCGATCCTGACTGCTTTGACATCCTGATCTGTGCCGCCGCCACTACGACCACCGCCTTCGCTGCCTGTAGTTGAAAGGATGCTGCCTTGCCTGGGTAGGTGTAGATGTTGCTTGTCTGTTGTTCGATGCAGAATCATGAATTCGTGAACTAATTTAACTTATTCACTTAATACCCCACATTTATCCTCTACATCGTTCACAAGGTGATTCCACCAAGTTATCATCATTGAAGACGAGCCCTGACGTAACAAGTTTGTATTTGATAGTTGGAAACATTTCTTAGACATCTGTAAATTATTTCTCAAAATGTTCAGAAAACCATTGGATTTGTTATTATATCCTTGTTATCACATTCGATCGTTTCCGTACTTCGAATTACTATGAGTTCTTGTGTGAATAGATTAACCTCCGTGAATGTTAATTGAGCGAAATATAACCTCTAAAAGTAAGTCTGTGGTGAAGCTAAGTAAAAATGGAGGAAATAGATATCGTTTGATACCGTCTCGAAGTAAAATTAGTCAAAAGTTTATAATACAGACTTGCTCGCATCCCCTATCTCATAATATTGAAGTCTCGGCTTCATCAAAAGTTGGATATCCGCGCTTAGGTTCACGTAATTGACTTTGTTTTTGTGCCTTCTCACTGAAGTAGTCTACATTGACAACTACATTTGTACATCCATCTCCCATTTCATCCTAACTTCAGTTAGTGGATACATTCATAAGTAGACGCTGCAATGATTGGGACATATTATGATCATTTAAATCTTCTAATGTGCCATTGGCGTAAACACCATGTAGGAAACCATCGACCGAAATCCAGTTAGTAAGTGCGCTTTCTGTTGCTGTCTAATGTTATTTCTGTACCTAGTAAATCACAATCAAAAATAAGAATGATGGTAGCTAATGATAAGAAAGTTAAGGAACTACAATATTTCCCTCTTATTACATAACTTTATAGAGGAAAACGTCGTGTAAAACACTAGAATAGTAAGTAGCTAATTGTTTACAATCTTATTTTTCTTATTCTCATATTACCAACAAATAAATTTGACAGGGAATGACTCCTCTTCATTGGGCAGCTGATCGAGGATTCTGTGATGTAGTTTCCACATTAATCGCGTATAATGCCAGTGTAAATGTCAAGGATTCAGAAGGACAAACTCCTCTTCATTATGGTAAGATGCTGTTGATTCTTCTTATTTAGCTTATTTTACTTCTATGAAATCAGGGAAATTCCTTCCAACAAAGACAACATTCATAAGATTTTTGAGTTCCTTTATACATGTCATCTTCCATCTTAGGTTATCTTACAGTGAGCTCAAAAAATTCTTTCAGCTAAGTAGTTATTCGTTTGAATGTTTTAGTTTGCATCCACTAAAAATACGAGGTCGCTTGCCTAACAATTATACTCGTCAACTGCTGGTGAATATCAAAATCTTGATTGTGTAGATTGCGATTATCAGTAGGGGGTATATACCTAGTTATAAGATTAAGCTCTACAATTGTGACATTCAGACTGTAGTTAACACGATATCTGCACGTGTATTTAAAAATACTGTTAGTTGTAATCAATATGCTAAACTTAGTTGGTCTGCTAGTCAAAAGTTATTTACGTAACTCACTAATAAATTCAACGTATAATCTGGCGTAATATTCTAGTCTAGTTCAAGTTGTCACACTCCTTAACACCATAACTTATCAGTCAATAGAAGGCGGAGAGGTAGTTAGGAGAATCAAAGAAGAAAAAAAGAAAGAATAAAAGTAGAGAAACAGTGTTTAAATACTAAATATAAAAAGTGCACCAACATTATTGGATTTTATTAAGGACCACAGCAATTTAGCTCTAGACAAGAGGAATCAATGTTTGAGAACTCATGGTGACATGGTTGAAAAATCAGTTACGGTGGCGCAAATGTATTTACTCCTTAGCATTTTTTGAAGCTTGGATATTTTCAATAACATTATATTGCTTATTCTCTTACGCTACTTCATCTACTTTGAAACCACTCCTTTTCCATCCTGTGACAACTTAAACTAACTCACCTGTGTGCGAGGTTCTACGTTGATTGTGTCAGTTAATAGCTGTCTTTGAAACCCTCAATGAACAAACCTGCTAGTTGTTTGGGGGAAAATCGACAGGAGGCCCTGGACCTAGGTTTTGTGCTTGTTGGCACTCGTCAGCAAGGTTTATTTGCCACCTCTGGGGATCTGATGTTCCCTGCAGTATTCGAACCCACGCCACCGAATATTGAAGTCAGCGATGTCACCACTGAGCTATTCGAGCAGCGACTGACATCCTGTATGACCGGATGAGATACACTGATTGGTCGCTCTCCAGTAACCAGTCAATGAACAAACCTGCTCTTTGTCATATCTCTAGAGGCGATAATAATTTATTGTTCGTTTCATGTCTTGGTTTGAATGCCCTTGGATTTTTACCATTTTATCTTGGTCGAGTTGTGGCTTATTTCTTCATGTTCGAACCCCGCTCCACCTACCGAGGTCTGGACAGCCAGATGGTATCATTGAAGGATGAATTATTTTTACTTAATCCGTTTGCCACACAGTTCAGAGGAACCATAGGGTGGATATGAATAAGTCATTTCCCATTATTTACAAGATTCCCATCGACTCGCCAAAAAGTACCAGGAACCGAATTTTTCAGGCTACAGATTTAGTATCAATTAGGATTAAACAACTCGAGTTGTGTTCGGAAAAAATAGGTGTCGTCTAAGCACAAATATCATGGCCGCTTAGTTCGGGACTAACAAATTTCTAAGCATCCTGCTCCTTGTAACCCAGTTTCCCACTTCTACATTATAAATATCCCCACATTCGTAAAATCTGAAGTACTTTTATCACACTCCCTTAGTCTATTTTATTCCCTAACATGAGTAAAGTTTTACTAAGCTAGTATTCATTGTATAAGGTGTATTTTTACTTGCGTAATCCTGGCATAGTATATTAAAACAAATAACAAAATATTTGTTTATTTTGTTATTTATTCTAATATACTATGCCGAGATTACGCAAGTAAAAATATACCTTATACGATAAATCATACTAACTCGGTGTCCAAGTTTTTTCAAACCATCCAGTCCACTGTTGGTCAGGATACATTTAAGTTAGTATTCCTCAAATTATCTTTGTTCATAGCATCCTAATTTCATGCACACCCTTCTATTATTTTTATTCAACCATCTTTGTTTGTCCGTCTTTACATTCACATTTCACCACGTTTTATTTGCCCTTCTACTTATGATAGGCTTTATTCGTATAAATTATCGAAGTGAGCACGATTCATTTTCATCTTATAGTGTTGCACAAGTCATATAACCATTTATATAATCGGTTATTTTGAACTGAATTCCAATGGCGATTGATCCTGATATTAGCATTTGCATAAAACAAACTGTCGAGGGAAATCTCACTGTTGATAACTTAAAATTAAACAAGATGAACTTGTATGTACAGAACCTGAAGAAGTTATCGAAATGAATATTCTTTGTTCATTCAGATATTTTTTCAACATGTTTTTATTTAATTTCTGCTTACAGCTTGTTCTTGTGGTCATGATGAAGTTGTTAGAATTCTACTGAAATTTGGGGCTGATATCTATGCTAAGGATAATGAAGGGAATTGCGCTTGCGATATGTATGAAGGTGATTTTCATACATTATTCCTTGATCATCTACACTTGTCAAAGTCTTAATTTGCTTGTTTTTTGTATATCCATTACCCTTTTTTTTAAGCGAATATTTTTCTCATTATCTGTTTTCCTGTTCTCCATGACTATACTGTTTCGAAACACTTTCAGCTTTCATCATTAGTCTCTTTGTAAATATCCTCCTAGGTACTGGTAATTACCTTGCTGAATAAATATAATTTTCCAATTTTTTCTCTCTAATATTGAACATCTTACATGTTTGGGAAGATGCCAATTCTTTCATTGTATTTCTTCCATATGAAGTATTAATTTACTAGGTTTAACTTAGTTTCAATATAAATGATGGATGGTAGCTAGCAGTGGGATCCAGGACGCGCTTTCCGTTGTATTTGACACTCGTCAGTTGGACGTATCTGCCTCTCTCCCACCGTAACTCGAGCTCGGGACCGATTGCTTCAAGCTCCAAGGCGTTATCCACTAGGCCATCAAGTCACGATATCAACTTCTTGTGTGACGGGTATAGTTTATTTGGTGTTTCTTGTATTATCCCGTCGTTGATTGGACCAAATCGATCTGTCTCTATTAGCATATTGGGATAATCTAAGCAACATTACTTAAACTATACCCGTTGCTATTGTGACTTGATAGCCTAATGGATAACCTCTTGGAGTTTGAAGCGACTGGTCTTGAATTCCAGTCATGATGGGAATAACGTCGCTCACTGAGAGGCAGATACATTCAGTTGTCGAGTCTCGAGTAGGACGAAATACGCATCCTGGATTTCACTGCTAGCCATCATTCATATCGAAATTGAAACGGCAGACAATGTCGAGGCATCCGCGCGGAAGCCGATATGCCAATAGAAACCGATCAACTCGGTCCAATCATCGACGGGATAATACAAGCAACACCATATCAACTTATCTTTAATTGCTAGGTTTAGATTTATACAGTCATTTATCTTCAATTTGCGTTCTTGCTTAATGTTCGTAGGTACACCAAATGTTTATCCTATCTAGTTTACTTTCATGAAAGCATTTTGAAAACTATTGCGAGATGTAAAAGTCAACAACTAACTCTGTAGTCAACATGATGTATATTAAGTCTGTAGAAGTTTCACATACTACGAAAGTTAAAGGACTGATAGCATATTACTGCAAGGATTGATAATTGTGAACATAAGTCGTGCGTTTCAGCAAATCAATCTGTGCTATTGAATGGATGAAGTTATCTTGCAATGATGGCGTGATTTATTTCATAAGACTCACTGAAAGATTTTGTAGGTAGCTGTTAAATAAACTCAGAAAGTTTAGTAACGATGGGCAGTGGCCAGCAGTGGAATCCAAGATGCTCATTACTAAACATAGTTAAAAGACAGGCAATATCGAGGCATCCGCATAGGAGCCCATATGCCAACAGAGACTGATGAATTCGGTCCAATCAACGACGGTGTAATACAAGCAATAACACTAAACTCAGAAAGTCTTTTAATTGTAAATCAATAATTTGCAATGAATATCATTAATGTACTCCCATCGACTTCCAGTTGTCCTGGTCTTGACTCCTTGTCAGGCTGTTGGTGTGAAATGCTGAAAATGGAAGAAACAGCTGTCTAGTGCTCCGACTCTCTAAGAATTCTCCAGTTGATATTAGTCTGTGGTGGAAACTGCCTTAAAATATTGTTATTTGAATCAGGTTCCAGAATAAACTTTTTTATTGCAGCCTCATTTAACTTTGTTGTAGTTACTGATGTGCACTGAAAAAGTATAGGCGAAATGAAATCTCATATGTTTAAGATGCAAGCTACAAAGGAAGCTGCTTACCTTTTCATCCCATAATAATTTTTGAAGAACAGCTCCATATAACAACAATATACACAGCAAGGATGTAGAATGTTCTCCTTGTAAACAAATTTTCAAACAAATCCTAGTTGAACGTTATTAGAATCTCGAAGCAGTTTAAAATGTACACGAAATCTGGCTGAAACAGGAAGGGATTTTAAAAGCATACCCAAATTACTCATTTTCAATGGTATTGAAAATTTGGTATATTAAGTCTACCATAGCCTAGCGCATGGTTAGGTTCATGATGTTTGGAGATAATTATATTTGTAACTAGTTATAAATGTGAGTTTGTAGTTTATTGTTTAAAGTGCTCGACATTCACTTATTCGAAAAGAAATTTGAACAGCTGCTTAAATCTGTTGATGCTGAGTTGCATAATTTGTTTTGTTAATATTATATTAAGTTCTGTACATTTCAGTAGGATCTCTGAACAAGTGTCATGAACTAGCGAAAGATACTAATGCTGAACAACTTGAGTAGTTGGGAACCACACAGGTTGATCTGTGAATTTCGCTATCTAGACTAAGGTGTTCTAACCACCGGACAGAAATTTCGTCAGTTAGATTCAGGTGACTTGAACTAATTCAGATCTATGGGCTGATGAGCTTGACTCCAAACGAGGGAAACGGACGCCTGGTGTTTTGATCACTCTGATCTGGCTATTAAAATATACACATCAGTTTGTGTAGTTTCTAACTACTCAAGTTGTTCAGCAGTATATTTCATACATTTCAACTAAAAATGTCTGATTTATTCTTTATCGTATTGTGAGTATCTAGTAAATAGTTTAGCAGATGAGTTTTATGTATATTTCGAAAATGTCTTATCTATGCATGCCATTGTTGAGAAATACTATGAACTTGACGAAGACTAAAGCTGGGAACGCTATGAAAATTTATTTTTCAATCACACTGTTTCTCTAGGCCACTCGGTCAAGGCCTATACTTAACTATAGAATTTTGCCTAATATACCATCGATTTTGAGCTACAACCAACCCATTCAGCTCTTTCCTGCTTCCTTTTTTTAATATATGTCGCTGTGTTGATGGAACGAATTAAAGCACTCGTGAATCCATTTTTCTTTGGTATTCCTATACCAAAATCTCACATCATTCTCTTAAATCTGAATTATGTCAATTATCAACACTCTACAATACTACTGTATACATTTTGCAAAATGCATTTTCATCCCTAAAATTTTCAAGGTTGGGTGGAATCTAAAAATAAGCATCAGCATAGTGCTCACATACCTAGGTGATGTAACTACTCGTCTCACATTGCAATCTACGTATATGCGCCAAAGAACAAGAAGGTTGACCCATATTGAGGAAGTATGAAATTAGCACTGCGAAAAGGTTGCGACTTCATTTGAGCCACACATGCTAGCGATTTTTGTATCTGCACTTAAATCGATTAATATGAGAACAGGAAGTAGAATATTAGTCCCTATTAGACAAGGCAAATAGAGTTATGGCTTCTTATATAAATAAGCATAATTCTGGACGCATTCTAGATTTATGAGACAGACTTAATGTACAATACTTCGAATCACCTATTCATTTTGGTTACCATGGTCTCAGCTCTACCCTAAGTAATAACCAAGTGGTGGTGGTAGAGAATTGTCATGGTTGGGGCTTACTCTGTCAGTCTGAATAGACCGATAAACCGGAATAGGTAGTAAGCAAGTCACATAGCCCAAGTGTTTATTTACATAATGTTCTTGTAATTCAAAAATCATTTCATTATTGTTCTATGGGTGCAACCGATGCTCATCGCTAATTTCTGGAAGTTTGACAGCTAGTCTTATATGTCCTCAGTTTAATTATTTAGTTAGAATACTAGATGCAACTGGTTTGCTTATGTTGATCTGCTCGCGATTATAGTTTTGATGTAAACCGAGATCCCGCATGAGATCAAGACACTAAATAGTCATCAAATTAGAATGAGTTCTATAGAATTAGCAGTCTTGAACTCGCTGACGATTGATAACTAATTGCAATACGATCTGTTCGACTCCCCGTTTACAGTGATAAAGCGAGAACTCTAGACGGTTTCATGTTGATAACAACGCTTGAAGTCGGTATCGTAAAGTAGATTGTGATTTGCAGAAGGCGATCATATAAATACTCTTTGCTTAAAACCTCCTGCAATAAATAGCCTATAAATACACTACAAGAGAGTGTTTTCTTCCTAATAAACGCTAGAATATCATTTGATGAACCATGTAATAACTTTTTACACCACTTTCCTGTATCTTGTGTTATGAAGCCAAACTTTGGGCGTAAAACTTACAATTAATTTTAACATTTTTCTTTGTTTCCATAACCAGTCATGAAACCTTAACATAAAAATATCACAAAGGTTGAGAATGAACCACATAATTATCTACAAGTGGTTCGTTAACTGTTTCTCCTAACACGACAATATTGTTGATAGACAAGGTTGATTGTTGATTAAGGAAGAAAATGGCACTCATGTTTCTTGCTATATCATGATACTGAGTGAATTACGTATTTAAACAGCGTAATGAGAAGAAGTCAGGCTAATGTGATTTTGAGCCGTGTCCATTTATGTAAGTCCTCATTGAAAGATACATTTGACCTTATTGACCATTTAAATGATATTAATATCAAGGATAAGACTATGTACTCGTTCGATGTAAATTCTTTATTTACTAATGTACCTCTAGTAACAACAATTGATATTTTATGTGACTATATTTCTTCTAACAGTCTTATATTCCCTATCCCTATTAATTTTTTAAAAGGTTTGTTATTATGCACTGATAAAGTTGAATTCACATTCGAGGGTGAACACTTTCAACGGATTGACGGCATCGCGATGGGTAGTCCAGTAGGACCGTTGCTAGCTGATGTATACACGTCATTTGTTGAAAACATGGCTGACTATCTCATCGGAAGGGTTTCACTTTATAAGAGATATGTCGATGATATAGTCATTGTATGTGAAAAGCCTGATGATGCAATTTGCCTGCTACAGAAAATGAACACGGCTCAAAATCACATTAGCCTGACTTTGAACAAGAGACAAACAACCAGCTACCGTTCTTAGACGTATTGCTCAGTCGACGGGAGGATGGCTCGATCAGGAGGTCGATCTATAAGAAACCTACATGGACAGGGCAATATCTTAATTTTCATAGCTGTTGCCCAGTCCAATATAAACGTGGTTTAGTCAGAT